GAATTTGAATAAAAATATACAAGTCTCAGAGTATAGTTCTCGAATAGAACAAAATTGAAAGTAAAGATAACTCAAGGGCACGTCTGGAATGAACCGCTACCTCTCAAGTAAGTCTGGAAGCTCTAATCTGAAGATGAGTAATAAGCCGGATCTGATAGAGCTGTCAACCTACACAACTGTGTAGAAGCAAGGGTGAGTACCAAAAGCAGCAGGTACTCGCAAGTAACACTAAACTAAGCTAAACTAGCAGCTACAAACAACTCCTTTCAATCCCAACCGAACCACCGAAACTTCAATCTAGCAGCAAACCAACCAACCTATACTAAACAGATCATATTCAACAGCCAGAACCAACAGTATATCCTCATCAACCTCAGATCAACAAATAAGAGCAAGTAGATCAAATTTCACATAAGAAGGGTAAACCGATACAATCCACACATCACAGACAAAGATAAGGCAAATGCGATGCAAAATGCAATAATGATGTCATGTAGTCGTGATGCATGTCTGTCCTACGATACACATCTGTTGACGTAATCAGTCCGCGTTGAATACTCAAATCAGAACCCACGGGGGCCGCACATGGACCATGTATCACCGCCGGAACCAGATCCCATCGGCATCCAAATTGCTAGCCGGAGCTAGTCCATCTCATATATCTCTAGCCGGAGCTAGTCTCAACTGTGTCTCATATCCATCCATCCTCATATCAGTGTCTCAGAACTCATGCAACAGATAGTTCACACATGGGATGAATAATGAATATGCACATGTCATCAATCACAATCATATCACGATCACATCATAGTATTACACATCATCTGTCTCAACATCAATGTCTGTATCAATCATAGCCTACTCATGCTCTTCTATCCCCTCAATATGAGTTATCACATGACTTATTCAACAAATTCAAGTCACATATAACACATTTAGCTCGTTTTATTCCCCATCTTTCATTTACAACAATTTCAATCAACAAATAAAACTCATCCTCAATCCCTATTACTCCCCAACACAATTAGGAAAGTAGTCATGCGTAGTCTAAGAGTTTTACAAAGTTTGGAAGCCACTTGCCTTAAAACGAACTCCAAAAGTTACTTGACTTGAGCCTTTCCTTTCCGAGTATAATCCGGATCACGATAATCTATTCAAACAATTATTCACAATCACAATTCGAGTCCAATGACACCAAAATCAAGAAATTTAGGGAAAAAGGGCAAAACGGTCCAAATGTCTCATACCGGAAAACGATACCCAAATCTGGAAATTTTTTATGTAAAATGATCCTTAAAGTATTTGGAAGCTAATGGTGAAAACCAATTTGAAAACGGAGTTGAAATCAATTCACAAACTCAATTTGAAGGAAAATCCACGTTCTTGAAGAAGCCTAAAATATTCGGATCCGAAACCCCGACTCGGAAATGAAATACCTCTTGGAAAACATCTTACCCATGCTTAGATAAGTTCAAATATGAAATTTCATCAAAAACGGAGTTAAGATCGACCTTGAAATTCTCAATTTATCAAACTTTAACTTTACCGGGAAAGTCCAAATTGTACGCGGTTAATATGATGAAAATAATCGATGAATCAATAATTTTATGTTAAAATCAGTTTACCCATAACATAAGGATCGTAAATATACCTTTTTCATCAAAAAGGGAGTCCAAATCGATAAAACCCCAATTTTTCCCAAGAGGTTTACGGATAGGGAAAAAAAAACCAGATAAAGAAATTATGAGAAAATGTCGAATTTAAGATTGAATACTAACCCTCATATTAATTCAAGAAGAAACCCGTAAGAATCACTCCATTCCGATCTCTAGAACTCCCGATATGCTCAAAATACCAAATGAACACAGTCTGAGATTTTTATAACAGTGCATGACTGTTATGCACCAGAAAAACAGCAGTTAATCTTTCACTAAAAAGGCCGTAATTTCCTCATACGATAGTGAAATGACCCGATTCTTTTTTGTAAATGTCTTAAATAATGATACGGACCTGCTCGTTCAATCGGAGCTCAATTTCATGCTCGTTTGCCCAGTCAAATATCATTTCTACTCGGTAAATAATTATTTCTTATTTGCGATAAAAGTAGAATCTCGGGTTAGCGAAAATGCACCAAAATTTGCAGATAAGTCCTATAATTCATGCTCAAAATTTCAGAACCTTCGGAATAATTTTTTGACCTTTAAAACTAATAATGAACCCTTTAGTTGTCACAATTTGCCGAAATAATGTCAAAGCATCCAAGAAGGTTAAAAGCTCACCCAAAACTCATTTGGCACTTCCCGAACACAAACCAAATATGCTACTAGCTTGAAAATGACATTTTGAACTCAATAAAATCGTCGGAATTTGAATTTGAGGTCTCCTTGACCCGGTATCCGATAAGGCGTCAAGAAACTAACTTTAGGCTCAAAAACTCGAAACGCACTCAGGGCCTCTAAAAATTCAACCAAGACTCATTCTAGACTTAGAATCACCCCCTGAATCCAACGGTGCCCTCGGAATTCCATTTCGAGCACCGGAACCTCGTTTGTTGACCAAAGTCAACTCTTGATCAAAATTTCACAATTTTTGCAACTTAGGACCTCAAATCTTCGTTTTAACTCCAAATTCGACTCCGTAAATTCTCATAGACCCGTTTCGACATTCTAAAACTGCTGGAATCGACGGAAATCCGATTCGAGTCTCGAAACTCCAAATGACTCGAAATAGCACTTTTAACCAAACTTTAACTCTTAAAAATTCAACTTTCCAAAAACTCAACTTTTCATCAATTTTCCTTCAAACCAACTTCGAAAATACAACAATTAGGACTCGGGGCAACTATCGGGAGGGGTAAAACGGTCATTTTATGAAAATTTCCAAAAATGACCTTTAGGGTCATTACAATTTCCTCCCTTAATGGACGTTGTATCTGAATTAATCAAATCCCAAAATAAATACCAAACATCACATGGGATATCAACCGAAATAAAGATTGTAGTTGAAGATATCAAATTAAACAAAATCGGAATTTCATTACTAAAAATAAATATAGAGTCAACAAATGAATACATGAATAAAATAAGATGTGACAATTATTTATTTTTGAAAAAAAAAAAAGACACCAATAAAAGTCCCAATTTTATAAATTAATTTGAAGATTTGGAAGAAGCAGAAGGCATAGCAGCTTTGAAAATCCTATCAAAGGCATTTTCAATGCTACATTTGAACTTTTGTGGATCAATTAGACCTTTTTCTGTTCCCACAGCCACTCTTAATTTTCCCATATAGCTCATCATTGTTATTGTTAAACTCTGCATGAAAAATCACCAAATTTCATTAAGTCAAAATGTAGTAAAAATCTATTTTGCTCGAACTTTTCAAAAATGCCAATGAGTGCTTGTCATATTCTTCAAAAATAATGTATTTTTAGAGAGTCCGACACAAACGCGACATCGAAAGTGAAGAGTACGCCGCGCGCACACAAAAGAAGAAGATGCATATAGATTCTAATTTCTAGTAGTGTTATATATACTTATGTATCAAATTACCTAATAGTATAAATATTTTTTACATTGTCAATACATTGAAGTTAAATTTTAAAAAATATAAGAGGATGTAATGTAATTTACCTCGGGAACACCAATCACCATGAAGTACAAGCTTTTAACTGGATGATTTGCCAAAGCCATTTTTTCCACTGGCCCAATCATGTTTGATATTGTCATACTTGAATTCTTCAACGTGCTATGGATATATTTAGCCGTTACCTAAAACACAAATTATTAATTTAGAATTCAGTATGTAACGTAAAAAAAAGTTAGAATCGTAAATCAATAAACTTCAAATTCTTATGAGGATAGTCATTTTTTCGCCCTTTTATAGACAACTAGAGTAAGAAATTTCACCTCGGGGCCTCTATACTTTTGCAAAGTATTGAGCAATTTACCAGTAAGAATAACAGCTGCGGAGTTTCTTTTTCTTTGAATAACATCTTGTGCTTTAAACACAAAACTTAGAGGGTTACTTGATGATTCTTCTTTATCAATTTTTGGTAATGAAACATGTAAAAATGCAAATTGATTTCCCCATTTTGACTCATTTTTGGGTTGCAACATTTCTTTCACCGATTTGTATCCTGCAATATTTCTAGTGTTGAGTAACACTAATGCCGTTGAATTTGTATTTTTCTGATCATATTTTGTTTCCTCCATGTATAATCGAACTCCCAAGAACAAAACTCCACATATAACGTCGTTTATGGTCTGTTAGACAAAAAGAAAAATCGTAAATCTTAAATAGTACTCCCTCTGTCCCTAATTACTTGTCCACTTTTGAATTAACACACCTATTAAGAAAACAATAATTGACATAGTGAGTTTACCATTTTACCCCTATTAATTATGAGGTGGTTGAATTAAAAACTTAAGATTTTCAATAAGTTTTACCTTTTTCAAAATAATTAATTGAGGGTATAATAGGTTAAAAAAATTGTCCTTTTTTGATTTGTCAAAATGGACAAGTAATTAGGAACAACTATAAAATAAAATATGGACAAGTAATTAGGGACAGAGGAAGTATAAGGTTCTCAATATAAAGGTCATGATATACATTGACGTAAATAAAATGTTACACCATCAATGAAATTTAACCTTACATAAAAAAGTTATTTTTTCTTAACATGTCATAAATATTTATCGTCGTACTAGAGCTCACCTCTAGAGTGTGGTGACATTAAAGATGAGGCAACAACTATAAAGGAGGTTGAGATATTAATGTTGGTCATGTAAGTTGTTACATGCCATAAATTGAAAATTTAGGTCACCATATTTAATGCAATGCCATAAATTGAAAATTACATTTTCGAGGAAAGGTTCAATCAACCATGCTGCCAATTAGGGAGTTAATTCTCTTTTATTGTCCAGGAAAAAAGATAGTATTTCTTTCGTCTCATATTAGTTATCAACTTTACAACCTTTTACACTTATCTTATGAGATAAAGTAGTGACAAAATTATTCCAAAAAAATTATATTAGTACTGGTCAGAGGTAAAATATACTTGGTGAAATATTTTTAATCCCTTTTTACTTGTTTAATTTTGATTTTTTACTTGTTATTTTTAACAAACAAGAAAAGATACTTTTTTTTACCTATTATACCCTCAATTTATTTAGAGAGTTAATGTTTTTGAAAAAGATAAAACCTCTTTAATGAGTAAATTGATTTTGAAATTCTATCAATTAATAGATGTAAAATAGTAAACTCATTATATCAATTATTATTTTCTTAAGAGATGTGCTAAGTCGAAACTAGACCCATGAATTTAGTACTTGGAGCATTAAAAGTTATATTCCAATTGCAACTACTACTACTACTACATTTTTCAACTAACTAACTAGTAATTGCTCCTTGTTGGTCGGTGTATACAGGTTCGACATAATTCAATAGCTTTAACTTAAATTTTATATCTACATTTAAAGATCTACCTGAATAGAGTAATTACACCTTATTAGTTAGAATTTGTAAACTCAAAATTCTAACTCCATCTTTATTTGCTATATATTATTTTAATTTGTGCTATTACTATGAATTCCTACCCTACTTGCACCAAGTGCAATTTGCTAGGGGGGAAATATGGGTACTTAATTCCCATAAGAACATAATCTGATAATAGTACTTGAATTTTATTTTTTTTGTGTTATTTAATAGTCCAAGCAAATTAAATAACCTATCTTTAATTTGTTTTTTAGATTATAGTTCCACCTAAACATGTCCTTTCACACAACATAATTCTTCGATGTCTTTATCAATCTTAATCGGAAAAAAAAATCTCTAAATCAAATAATCAAGAATCAATGCACCCAAGTGGTAGGTATATATATATATATATATATATATCATAAATTTCAATAATAAAAAAGGAAATTAAATGACATAGTCTTAAAAAGGTGGCGTATATTCAATCTTATCCTTAATTACCTTACAAAGGTTAAGAGATTGTTTCCAACAAATAAAAATCGACGTGACAAAACCGACCTAAAATTTAGGTCCCAAAATACTTGGAGGTCACAAAAAGTCGATCTCATGAGGTCGATTTCTATTTTAAAAAATCAATTTTTTATTTGTAAAAATCAACCTTCGAAGGTCAGTTTTTTCCAACTTCTTTTAAGGTTAGATTTGACAATTTTTTAAGTAATATGATAGTTTCTCAAGATAAGCAAGTAAAACAAATACAGTAACGTAGAAGTCATGCTGAAAACGATTAAGACAATAAATTAAACAACATACCACTTTAAGATTGGACTTAATTTCCTTGAGATGATCAAGAGAGAACTCCATAGTTGTAATATCAATTGGTCTAAACTCCACACCTTCATCACCAGACCTAATTGTTGTCCTTTCATCTTCCAGATTAGTGCTTTTCATTAAACTCCATCCAAAATCCAACAAAGTGTTCACAACTCCATTAACACTTTGAACCACATTAGTACAAAAACTCTTCTTATAATCACTTTCCAAATTGTGATTATTAT